TACTCTTGCCCAAATGAAGCAGATTGCTTGGAATAGGAGCGTAATGAGCTACATGCAAAGGAGCACCTTCTGGCAGGCCCTTCATGGCTTTAGTGCATCTGGAAACCAGGAAATGTGAGGCTGCTGGCAAGAGTAGCATTTCACGTGCAAATTTGATTTAGCCAAATCATGGAAGAGGCATAGCTGAAAAGTATGGACACCATGATCTCAACGAGTATATTAAGAAGCTCTCCTCCTTCACTCAGATTACTGAACCATTTCTTTGGCCTTAAGATCCCCTCTCCTCTTCTTTTAAGCCAGACTGTTAACACTTTCTTTCTTTCTTGTCAGCAAGCATCAAGTCAAAAATAGTCTTCTCTTGTGTTGCCTTGGAAATTATCACCCACTAAAGAGCTAAAAATGTCTTCTAAGCACTTAATCAAAAAACAAAAAATCCTATGGAACTGTCTTCTAATAATTCTGTGAATTCTCTAGACTAGTAATAGATGTTTATATCCTATTTGCCTTGAACAATTTGGACTTTTTGTTGCCTTCCATGTAGTAGAAATCATATCCAAAGAAAAAGAAATCGAATGGGTTCTACCTTAAAAATTGAACCATGAAGATGATGTTTAGCATTTAGCATTGCACAAGATAGATAGATGGCTGTAGTTATATTCTTCTTTTCTGTGGGCATACCAGTCCAACATAACACAATAGATCAGGGGTCCCCAACCTCCAGGCCAGGGCCCATTACCAGACCATGGCCTATTTGAAACCGGACTGCCGGACAGATAGGCAAGTGTGCACACGTGAAGCTCCCCACTCACAAGTGGTGGGCAAACGTGCAGCACGAAACTAAGCTTGTGCGATGAGAGCTTCACACACAAATGCAAGCACCCTCCACTTGCATGAGTGGAACTTCATGTGCCAGTGCCTGCCACTTGCATTAATGGAGCTTTGTGGGTGGGTGATTTTTTTTCCATGATCTTGAAGGCGGCTCTTGATCAATTTTTGGGATGCTTGTGCCAGCCCCAGATTAATCTGCCTTGACCAAGAGAAAAGGAGGAACAAATACAAGTGTAAGTAACTTGGCCTTAATCCTTAAGAGTAAATAAATAAATCTGCATATGAAGTTTGGCACAAAGACTAACAAAAAATCCCACACCCCAAACTATGAATAAGCAGGATATTTATACATGCATACATGGATATGCAAAACTAGGTATTACAAGACTACGGATAACAAGGGCTACCTTTATTACAGTTAGACTCTAGTCTTCAAAAGTAAAGGTGCCCTCAGATCAAATTTGATTCCTGGTGACTTCGTAGACATGTCCACATCATTTTTCTTTATGCCCATATGTAAGAGGTGACGAGGCTGAATTCGAGGGCGGGGTCAAGTGCATCATCAGTTTGGAGTCTCTACACCCCCATAAGAAACATAAGTCCAGCCCTCTTGAAATCCTTTGACTCTTATGTGGTACCAATTTGCCTTGACGGTTAGTAATTCAGATTCTTCTGAATAAGTAGCATGAAATAAACTTGTAGTACTGTATTTTTTAATATCCTGGTCCCTGACTTCTTGCACCTGATACATATGGATGTAGTTTGGTTTTACCCTTTTCCAGGATATTGTGATAGTGTGCATTTTTTCTCACTTTCATCGTACTGTTCCTGTATTCTCTTTTGGCCTCTCAAACAGGTACTAACTAGTCTGAACAAATCCAAGATTTGCCAGCTGTAGCCACTTGTCTTATGAATTTAAATTGCATCAATTTCATGGTTGCCAGAGATGGATGTTAGTTATCAATATTATACATTCCTCTGTGCCTGCACTGGTAATATTCTGATTAAATTCCGTGTGAATATTTGTAATATCAGATGGGCCACAAGCACTGTAGGTTTGGGAAATGACATCAATGTACCTAAGGAAACAAGTGGACCAATCTACTAAAAATTACTAGCAAAATTTACAGGTGAAAAGTTACATTTGAGGCAGGAATTGTGTTTTTGTTTTGAAAATATTAATGTCCTTAATTTATGCTTGTGCTGTATAGCTCCTTTAATACTCATGGGCTCGAATACTTCCCACGTATTTTGTGCATGTAGCCTTCCATCGGATATTCAAGGAATGTCCCTGCAAGCAACAATTCTGGGTTATTCTCAGTTATACCGCTTATATAATATGTAGAGGTTGTTTTTTTTTTCTCTCTGCCCTATTATCAAAAATAAAAAGTTAAGATTTGCATATATTTCCATACCTGAAAACAACATGATTTTAAGTAAACAAACTTGGGGCAGCTCACAGTTGTACCTAATCATATTTCATTGATAAAATGTGTAAGTTACTAAACACGCCAAAGTTTAAAACCAAACAAGACTTTGCCTGTGTACTGATTCCTATTTGAAAGAATAAAGGAATAGATGGGAATGCAGGAATTTTGTGTGTGCATGCATGTGTGTGTGTGTGTGTGTCCTAACGAAATGCAAAAACGGGATTTTGCGCGAAAGATTCAAAGATGAGAGAGAATAGGAAAAACAGATATTGAGAGAGATTTCTGAGTAAGAAACCCAGATCAAAGAACTGAACGCTGGATAAGTGTAAAGGAACTAGGAGTCCTAACTAGAATATCAGTTTAAGCAAATTTTAAAGGAGGAATGGGGTTGTTATTGATGGCATCTTATCAAAGATTTCCGTCCCTTTGGAATAATGCTTTAAGGAACTTCCTACTGACAGTGGGAGTACAGCTAAAACTGGAAAGGGTCAGGTCTTCCAGAAAGTTTTTGAAAGTAGAGCGAGGGCTGCCTCCCAGGTGTAAAGATTGAGAAGGCATTTAGGGAGGAATGAAGTAGCAGAGGCAGAGAGAGAGAGAAAAGAGAATAAAAAATCATGTAGACAAAGGTGGGGAAATGTAGAGAGGAAATGTTTACACACACACACACACACACACCCAAAAAAAAGAAAAAGAAAAAAAAAGCAGAAGAGGGAAAGACTGGCAGTAAAACTGAAGACTGAAGGGAAAAGGATGAAAATGGTACTGGTAAACCAGTACAACTAGTAGCATAAGGGAATCGACAAGTATATTGAAAATGGAAAGCAATGCATTGGAAAAAATGGTGTGGGGTTTTTATTTTTATCTATCCCTCTAGGCCAGTGGTGGCCAACCACTGGTGGTCCATGAGAAAAATTTTTGATGGTCCACAGAGAAATGTCACTCCAAAAGCACCCCCAAAGCAATTAATCCAGGCTACGCGGGAACACAAGGCTGCGCCACCCACATGGCCCGTGGGAACACAAGGCTTGGGTCGATTGCATTGCGAACAACATGAGATAGTGAGGGGAGGGAGAAAGGGCAGAGAGGGGGAACTTGCCCCACTCACCCCATGCGTCTGGCCTGGCCACTAGGCTGCTGCTTTCTGCTTCTTTCTTCTTCTGCTTTTGGCTGCACGCAAGGAAAGCAGCAAAAGTCTTTCTTTCCCTCCCCCAAACTTTGCCAAAAATGAGTCTTTGGGACCCTGCAAGGCCTCCTGCTCCAAGAGGCTGCGCTGGCAAAGGCTCATTTCTGGTGGAGTTTGGGGGAGTGAAAGAAAGACTTCTGCTGTTTCTGCTGCTTTCCTTGCATGAAGCCAGAAGTTTCTCTCTCCACCTGAGAATGGAGCTGGAGACAGTATCCTGTGATCCCAAATAAAGACTGATTGATTGATAGGAAAACGAGGTGGGGAATTTTCCTGCAGACTTTTGGGGGGATTTTCCCAGAGTCTCTGCAGACAGAGATGATCGATCATTCTTTATTTGGGATCGTTGGATACCCTCTCCCTTCCTCCTCCCTCCCTCTCTCTCTTCCCCTCCCCCCACAAGAACAGAACTGAAAAGCAGGTAAGTGAAGGAATATGGATGCCTTGGAGGTGCTGGGGGGGGGTGAGGGACCTCTGTGTGTGTGTGTGAGAGAGAGAGAGAGAGAACATCACCGCCAGCCCTCCGAGGTTAAATCGGATCTCTCTCTCTCCCTCCCACCAACGCCAGCAAGCCACCTTCAGTCAAAATTCATATTAGTGGTCCGCAGGATTTAAAATTATGAATTTGGTGTTCCCTGAGGTCCAAAAGGTTGGCCACCCCTGCTCTAGGCGGCATTTTTGGAAGCGGGTTGCTAACCCCTTTTTCCAGGACTGAAAGAAAATAAGTGGCCACAAAAGCCACCCGGTTGCTTTCTGTTGCTTAAGACAGGATCATAATCCAGGTTCCCCTCTCAGATTCCACTACCTTAACTACTAGATCAAAGTGGTAATTAGGAAAAGTCCAGTACTTCATGGTATAAATTTGGAAAGCTCTTTGCTCAAAGCAATTTGTATTGGAGATCAACCGATTGAAGTTTTTTTGTAAAACAGTTATCAAGTTTCTTTTCTTTTTTTACATCCTTGCAATCTTTATTGAAACCTTGTAAAGCCCTGGGATTCACTGCTTGAATTCCTGCCTGCTGCTGTAGCTGTTGGAGTTAGGATGCCCGCCATCCTCTGCAACCTGCAGCTGGGTAGCAGTTGCTGCAGATGTTTGGTGGGCACCAAATTGACCCAGGCTGGGTTTAAAATGGGTTCCATTTCTCCTGATTTTATGAGTTCTTCCCAGTATTTCTTTTTATGGCTTTCTTCCCAGCCTTTCCAAAATGTGGGTGGTATCTAGGAAGGAACGGGGCCGTCGCAACTGGCTGCAAAGCAGAAAGTTGGCAAGAGATCTGCTTTTCAAAACCTAGCGCCTCATGAGGACTAGGAGCAAGCAGGACACACCACTTCTTTGTGTGATCAAGCCTGTGTTGTTGTTGTTTTAAACTGGGTAATTCAAGTGCAAAAAAAAGGAAGAATGGGTACTTATATTTATATATAAGAACAGTTATAAGAACAGTTATCAAGTTTGAAATGCTTCGTTCAAGGGATTGCAAAGACTTTTAGTTCTATCATAAGATACAGGCTTGCTAAAAAAAACTGTGACATTTTCTGAAAAATTTGTTTGTTTGTTTTTGCAGATCAAGTCACTGCAGTCTCTTCTTTGTTTCGCTACTGGATTACAGATATCCTTCCTGGAAAGGAGGACAGGAAATGAGCCGAATGAGAATCTCCATCTGTACAGAATTAAGATCTAAAATTCTGGATTAAATCTGAGGATATTTGGGCAGAAAAAATGTCCTTGAACCAGAATACAGGTTCACAGTGACACTTAATGTGGGTTTTTGCTTTTTGGGGGGGATGGGGGCGCTTGGGTTTTGTTTATTTTGGGGTTTTTTTGTGACTGGACGAATCTGCAAGGGCCTTTCATTTTTAGTGCATCCAGAGATTTCAGACAATTGCTTCAGTGAAGTCCATCTTACTTCGTTTTTCTTCCAAGAAATTCAGAGTGGCCACATTCAAAACCAGCAAGTTCCAGCATTGATTTAAGATGTTGGCTTACAACATGGACCGCAAGAGCTGTGACTTGAACTAAAGAAGTCTGATGTTCTTTTTCTCAGTTTAATTCACTTTGAACAAAGCTCAGAGTCTCTCTTGATTGATCGGTCCATGGGCAAGCTGAGAAACTTTGGAGACCAATTTACAGGCAGCAGAGAGGAATACACTGCCTGGCGTGCCAAGATAGGAGAACTGGAGCAGATTGGCTTTCCCCATCATATCTCTGTGTTTTTTTTAAGCTGTAGAAGCAGAATAAAAGATGAATCTTTTTTCCTGCATTCTTTATTTGAGTTGATCTGACATGGGATGATAAAATGTATGGGCTTCGTTTTACGTTAAGAGCATAGTCAGTTTTGGGCAGACTTTTTTTAATGTCATGTAAATATTTGAGGTATTCTGGATAAGTATCTCCATTAGTTCCTTCGCCGAACAACTCAAACTATTGGCAGAAATGCTTATAAGGGTTTTCAAGAGAGAACTCTAGCCAGGAACAGTTTTTCTACTACCTGCACAAGAGCAGCTTCTCCTGCCAAAATGTGCTTTTTATATAAATTTTAAAGATACCAGGGAGAACGGTATCCCTAAGGGACATCAAAATAAATTATGCAGAGAAACTACGCAAAATAAATATTATTTCTTACACTCGGTTTGTGAGCATAGACTCCAAAGCCAGCTTCCTTGTGTTTCTGCCTCTACAGTCTGTACAGAAGAAAATCTGCTCCTGAGTACCGTGGGAGTTCATGAATTTTTGACCAAACTGCGTATTTTTAACATTTAATAAACCCCATACTAGCATGCCTGTCTTCTATTTGGCTTGCCTCCACAGGAAAAAAACGGAGAATGCTGCCATTCTCCCAAAGTGTCTGAATTTCAGCCCCTTAAGAATCATAGATAATGCTTATTTCAATCGTTTCTGAAGGACTGCAGAAGAGCTCAATCTGTGACACTGCACATCTGACTGTATACTATTTAATTCTACTATCCTCAGAAATACCCACCTCTCTCCTTAATACTCTAAATACAGTGGCTTCTGTAAGTTGTACGTTTTTATTATGCGTTCACATTAAGCCTACAAGAGGTATGCTATTTGTCCTTTCTCTTCTGCATCTTCAGTGTAACCTGGCTTGCTATGATCAGCTCCACTTTTTTTTTAAAAAAAGAGTGCAGTTCATTCTCTGAAACCGTTTTGTTAATACAGGTAATCCTCGACTTACAACCATTCATTTAGTGACTATTCAAAGTTACAACGAAACTGGAGAAAAAGTGGCTGCTACTCCCACGAACCATGCACAATTGTAATGTCATTCACTCCAGTACCTTTGCCCATTTTCATGTCGTAAAAGAATCAAAATGGGATGAAAAAGAAAAGAAAAACATCACTCTTATTTGTGCACCCGTTCTCTGGAACGTGGTGCCCCTCAAGATGAGATCCGTCCCCACTCTTCTGACCTTCCATAAGAACCTCAAAACCTGGTTCTGCCAACTGGCCTGGGGCCCCTCTGGGGCCATGTCATTCTGGAGGTGGATAATAGACTGTTTGTACTTTGCTTCCTTTCTTGTCATCTTCCTTCATTTTAATGTTATTTTTTTTAATATATTTTTATTGAGTTTCTTTTATTACATCGTAAAACATCATGGTATCAACAGCGTTCTTGGCATCTGTGCAGGTTTTTGGTTTAAATATCAGAATACATTGTATTACATTTGTCTAATGTTAAACAATAGCTTTAACTATGGTTACTATTCTTATATCTTTATATAATTTACAAACTTTTGTTTTACTTTCTTAAGAATTATTTCAGTTTGGCTTTTTGTCTCACTTCTTAGCTCTGTTTGTTAACCATTTATACCAATTGTTCCAGATTAAAAAGAATTCAGAGTCATCTTTTTCTTTCAGTTTCATTGTTAACATGTTCATCTCAGCACTTTCTGTTACTTTATGTATTATTAGTTCTTCATTAGGAGTATTTGGGGTTTTCCATACCCGCGCAAAGGCTATTCTGGCAGCTGTTGTAATGTGTAAGAGTAAGTATTTTATTTCTTTCGGTAATCTTATCTTTGATGATTCCTAAGAGGAAGGTTTCCGGTCTGAGCTCAATCTGATACCCAGTGATCTCTTGTAACCAATTTTTGATTTGGATCCAGTATGTCTGGTCTAAGGGCATAACCACCACATGTGATAAAATGTACCGTCAACTTTTTTACATTTCCAACATTTTGGACTCCTGTTGGGATAAATGTTTGTCAATCTTGTTGGAGCTAAATACCATCTATTAAAACATTTTGTGCATATTTTCTTTGTATGCTGCAGATACCGTTAACTTATAATTTAAGTTCCATATTTTCTCCCATTCCTCTAATTCTGTAGTGTATCCAAAATTCTGTGCCCATGCAATCATTGTGCCTTTGACTGTTTCCTCTTCCATTTTGAAATCTAATAAATATTTGTATATTTTAGTTACAAGTTTTTGTTCCAGTCCCATTAATATTTTATCTAATTGGTCATTTTAATGTTATTATTTACCACTGTAACATTTTAACACTTTCTTTTGTTGTTTTTACTCTGATGTAAGCCTCTAGATGAGATGGGTGGTATATAAATCGAATACATTTATACACCACCCATAAATAAATTTAATAAACAAATATTGGTCTGCACTGAGCCACAGGTTAAACTAGATGATCTGCTTCAACAAACTTGCAAATATACTTAATCCAATTGCTCAGTCTCATTTGCTGATTTTTCAGTCAGAGTCATCCCCAGGAAGTCTAGTCCTCATGCAGATATAAAGGGTTGATTTGTAAAACTGAACAGGAACTATACTACTCTGTCCTATAATGTAATTAAAACTCTATTGGTATAGACTTCCATACCATGTTATGCTTCCAGTGTTTAAAAGTTGAGCAAATTAAAAAAAAAAACTAGTTTGATCTAGTGGTTAAGCATCAGGCTAGAAACTGGGAGACTGTGAGTTCTAGTCCTGTCTTAGGCGTAAAAGCCAGCTGGATCACCTTGAGGCAATCACTCTCAGCCAACTCACAGGGTTGTTGTTGTTCTTGTGGGGGAAATAGGAGGATTAGGTATGTTTGCCACATTGAGTTATTTATAACAATAATAAAGGCATGATTAAAAAAATCTATGAAACAAGTTATAATAGGAATTAAGGGTTGGAGTGGAACTTGGAGATGGGTTATTCCAATCTCTTCTCCAGTTTAGAATTCGACTGCTAAAGTATCCTAAGAGATTACCATCTATCCTCTATTTAATCACTTCCCAAGTCAGCCTGTTCCACTGTTGACAGCTCTTGACCATTGGGGAATGCTTCTTGATGTTCACCTGAAATTTTGCTCCTGGCCATAAGAACTCATGAGAACCCACATCTTCAGGAGCCATTTATCTCTGGGGGTGCAGTGGTTAAAGTTCAGTTTTGCAAGCTAACTCTGCCAATTGCCTGGAGTTCATTCCTGATGGGGCTCGAGGTTTACTCAGCCTTCCAATCTTCCAAGTTTGGTAAAATGAGGACCCAGATTGTTGGGGGCAATAGGCAAATAATGCTTCTACATGGTAAATTACCCAGAGAGTGCTGTAGAATGCAATGTATATAAGCCTAAATGCTATTGCTATTGCTTATTTCTGCATACCTGGCAATAGAAGGATCTTCCATAAACAGGATTCTTGACGTGGGAAAAGCTGGATTCTCTGTTCTATTTCTTCATATCACATAACAAAATTAGTGAAGGGTGGATTAAATCATTCTGTTTTGTATGATGTTTAAACACAAACATACATTTATGTTACATGCATTTACCCCAAAGGATAGATATTTCCTAAGCATTCCTTTAAAATGAATCTTTTTTGTATGTATTTCTTTTAACTGAGAACTGCATTACTAAATGTAAGAAGTGTGTTATCCAGAAGATGTCCTCCATTCCACAACGTTGTCAAGAAGTGAAATAGGTTAACCTGAACAATGAACAAAACAAATCACTGCAGCAACAAAAAAATACTATGAAAAAAACATGACTGTGCAGTCGGCTCACTTCAGTATTTGAATTTTGTTTATCACAGACTTTTAATCAACCAACATATTGGGAGGGAAATGAGAAAGAGAAGCCAGTTGAGGTCAGTGTTGCCTAATAGCTTTATAAATTACCTGTAACATGAAATAAACTTGTTCACCAATCAAAGTTGGGTGCCTTTTGACAAGAAGAAATGAAAATACTCTGCAGAATAAAAATGCCAACTGGTTTATGGTTGTCTTTAAAAATAGTGCAGTTTTTGAAAGGAAGAAAACGAAAGAAATTCAGAGTTAACTGAAGCATAAGCAACCATGTTGGGCTATAGCACATGAAGGATAAACGAGACATGCAGAAAGAGAGAGTATGTTTATGTGTGTGTATATAAAAGAATTGTGATTATAGCAGTAAAATCTAATACAAACCAAGAAAAAGAGAAAAGTGCAAGAAAAAGGAAATGCAATGCAATAAAGATAGACGTGTGTGTGCGCGCACATACATGTGTGTATATGTGTTTGAGAGACTTCCTACCTTCCTTATAAGTATAAGCAAATTTAGTGACTCTTCGCCCCTTCTAAGGTTACCACCATTTATCTCTTCATTTCATATATTGTCTCTTAGCTATAAACAAATCCGTAAGAAATCATCTTTTTAGTCCTTGTGTCAGCAGAAATTCCATGAAAAGTTGTCAGAAATAACATCTCTTGTTTTAACCTTGATCAAATAAACCAACTTTACTTCCTTTTACTTCTAACAGTCTTAATCTTTAGTTCATTCAAATATTGTTGCAGGATTTGATTTCTGATTATTTCTTCTTCATCCCATTGCACCAAGTTCTTTAAGGCCTTAATTATCCTCTTTTGTAAAGTCAATAGGAGAAAAATATTCAGGTCTCTCTTTTGGTTTGTCATTTGTGTTTCCCTTTTAAATTTTAAAACCTCAGCCAGTTTTTTTTATAGAGCCAGTGATACAGATTAGATTGCAAATGTGCTTTAGATTACAGACTGATAAATATCTTTACTGATATTCATAGTAAAATACAAAAATAGTATTGATGTGATTTGGAATACTGAAACCTAGACAAGTTTTATAAAAAATATTTCGATAGCTGTCATTATTTAATAAGACAAAAACCACAAAAGGTTGGTTGTCAGGCATACAGACTGTAGTTGTTTTGTTTTAATATATGGTAGAAAACTGATACCAAGTTAATATCTGAATCCTACAGATTATGAGGAAAACCATTATTCCA